TCCACAGAGGCACTGGCTAGGCACAGTGAGGCTGGGAGGCGAGCTGCCAGTCTGCACCCTCCCAATCAAGGACTGGCATATCACAGCATCTATTTTTGTTCTCGAAATAACAGACTTTTATAAAAGGAGCTTGGACCTTCACTATGGCTCTGAGGAAGGTGTCTCCTCAGGCATGTGTGACAATTTAATCTCTAATCACCTTTCATACATACTTCCAACTCTTATTTCTGTGCTTTTTGGTTCTTTTTCCCTCCAGCAGAAAATGCTCATAGCTGAAACATGTACCCTACCCTTTTTTATACTGAAAAAAAAAAAAAAGAAAAAAACCCTATCACCCTTTATTTTATTTCACCACCCCTCCACTTCCCTAACCCCACCCCGCTTATTCTATACTTAGTTTCAAGCCAAGTAGATGTTAATTATTTATTTATTTTTAGAATGCATCAGTTAAATCTGCTCATCTTTTTTGAGTTGAAAGACTGGAAGAAATTGCACATCACTTCAGATGTGAGATGGGCATGGGCGGTTTGCATCCTGCCCAAAGATAGCTCAACTTCCTTTTGAGATGCCTTGCCTTCTTTGGCAATCAAAATCAAACTTCTCTATGGAGGCATATGTCTATGGGTTAGAAAAACTTGGATTCATCAACATTTGTTATGGTCTTTGCCTCATCCCCAGATAAACTTGTGCACCTCAGAGGTGTGGGCTAGCACCAGCATTCCAGAAAGCCTGGGCTGCTCAAGCTCGTGAAGAACACGTGACTGTGGGCAGAGCAGGGAGCACACGGGAAGGGGAGAGCTCAGCCTTGGCGTACTCGGGTTGAGGTGACATTAGACGCCCCAGCAAAGATGACAAGCTGCCAGCGGGATGTCTGAGTTCAGCACTCAAGAATGAGATCCATGCTCCAAATGAGCTTGGAAACTTTGATGTCAGAGTGTGGGCAGAGGCCAGTGGACTGAACCAAAGGGCAAGAAAGGCTGTGAAAGAACAGCCATATGTAGGAGGGAAGATCAAGAGGTCAACAATGGCTCAGGAGCCAAGTTCATGTTTGTGGACTAGCCAAAGTAAAGGAATGGCCCTGACATTGTGAGCAACACCAAGTCTGTGGGAACAGGACTTTATTTTGCTCTGTACTTTTAGTGTCTTCAAAACTTCTCACTGAGCAATGAGCACCGTGTAACATGCTCCTTGCAGGCTGCTTATGTAGGTGCATTTGACCCTGGCCGGAGCTGTGGTGGCAAGCTCTAATGAGATGAGAGCCTATAGGATGGAGGCAAGGATGTGGAGGGACCAAGAGCAAGCCGCTCTCTCACGCTCTTTTGTAGCAAACAGAATAGCAGAAGGAGACACTAGCTAGAGGGAGATGGAGGGAGAAGGGCAGGCTGGCTCATTTCAGAGAGAGATTACAGTTCTATTTCTAGGCAATCTCCTTTGCAAGGCTGTGAGCATCGCTCATTACGTGCTTTCTTACCCCCAATACATACAGTTCTGCTGCCCACCCAGAAGGCTTAGGTCACCCCTCTCCTCTCATTCCACCAACAGCAGATGTCTTAGGCATTGTAGTGCCACCTACAAATGACACTGTCCAGAAACTCTGTAGGAGTTTGGTGGTGATATGTTCAAATAGGACTTCTGCAGACTCACCTTCATGTGTATTACAGCAGGCTGTGTTGACACCAGACATCAAAGCCACACAAGGATGCCCAGAGAGAGAGAGAGAAGCAGAACTTCCACGGAAACTGTGCAGTTTCTTCGTCCTTTAGATCCTGGAAGACATTCAATAGTAGCAGCAACAGCTTCCTTCACTTACTTTCCTGTTTGAAGACAAGGCTGGAGGCACACATTTACCCAAAGGGAACCAGAATTTATTTTTGAAACTGAAAAGTCCCAACAGCTACCAAAGGATCGCTCTGTGAAAACATGAGAAAATGGGTGGGATGGGTAGGTTGAGCCTCCTAGCTAATGATATGGCAAGTTCAATGAAACTGCACTGAAAAATAAGACATGCTCAAAAGGATGACCTTCTTTTCATCTCCCTGCAAGCACATCACAAAAATAGCGAACAGGGCACTACTACCTGCTCTTAAGTCTCCCTGGGAAGTTCCTGTTTTCACTGCAAAAATAAAGAACAGAAAAGGTGCTGCTGATGCAATTAGCAGAAGCCACAGACATGGCTCTGCAGTCTTCCTGATACAGGTCGGTGTTTTAGTTACAATGAGGAGACTAGAATGACACACTGGAAAAATCTCGGCTGGCTAATCCAAGGGGGACAAAAGCACAAAGGGACATGTGAATTCCACTACGAGCAAGCCCTGTGACCCAATCACGCCATTATTTTTACAGCCCCATGTCTGAAAAAAAAAATCAAGCAATCAAGGAAAGTTTCCTAGGCATGGCTCCTTGCAGACATCTGTATCAGGGAGGCGTCCCAAGATGAGGAAAGCTAAGGCTCCTGGGCTCACGGCACCCCACTGCTTCCAAACCTAGGTGCCACAGGTGAGAGCCACATCCCAGAGGGCTTTCCTGCGAGGCGCGGACGCTCCTAGTGGATGGAAGCACTAAGAGAAGCAGTGCGGGGCTCTGAACGATCATTCTGAGCTTGTGATCTAAATAACAGACTGTGCACCAAAGTCACAGCTGGAAAACAGGACTCCTGCCCACCTAGCACGGCACTGTCAACCTGTGGTGCTGGCCCATTTGGGGCTGTGGTTATGAAGTAGCAGTGAAATAATTTTACGGCTGGTAGTCACCACATGAGGAACTATATGAAAAGCTCAGTGTTAGGAAGGTTGAGAAACACTGCTCTAGTCAAAGATACATTTTCTTTTTTCTTTGTTGTGTTTGGATAGAACAAAGTAAATTCTGTCCCTTAACTAGCTGAGTTTCAGGGCCAGAGAAATGGCTTTGAGGTTAAGAGTGTCTATGTCAGGCAGTTTCCAACTACCTGTGACCCCCACTCCAGGGGGATCCTGTACCTTTGGCCTAATGTATAATCCCCCCCCCCCCATACACACAATAAAATAAAGTTAGGGAAAATATAAACAAGCTTCCTTCTACTTGGGTATTTTTTAGCTTGCAGATAATTCTAGTTTTTTACCTATGAACATTTTGCATAAGGGCACAATAGAATCACACATACACTCAACTACTGTTATGTTCAAAAAAGACCTTCAGCTGTATAAGCAAGAACTATTGCTCCTCTGAGGGTCTCTATGCCCCACTCCCAGGCAATCTACCAGACAGCATGGTAGATTATCAACCTGAGTGTTTTACTTAGGGTCTCTATTGCTGTGAAAAAAGTACGATGACCAAACCCAACTTGGGTAGCAAAGAACTTATTTTATTTCACAGCTTATAGTCCATCATCCAAGAAAATCAGGGCAGGAACTCAAGGCAGAAACTGAAGCAGAAACCACGGAAGAGGCTTCTACTGGCTTGCTTCCTACAGCTTGTTCAGCCTGCTTTCTTGTATCATCAAGGACCACCTGCCCAAGGGTGGCACTCGACAGGCTTGTCCACAGTGGTGAAGATATTTTCTCTACTGAGGCTCCACCTTCCCTAATGGCTCTAGCCTGTGTCAGCTCAACTGAAAACTGGTCAGCATAACTGGCCAACACAAGGGTCTCACGAACATAGGGTGAGATGCAGGTACAAAGGACAACTCAATAGTAAAAGAGTGTTCCATGAAAAGGCCTACCTTTTCTTATACTTTTCAGGATTGAAATTCTCTTTATGTTATTGAATGATGGCCACAAAATTTTGAAAAATGCCTTTCAAAAAAGTAGCTGGCAAGTTCATCTATCCATGCACATTTAGAAATATGGAATCTGAAAGTCTGGTGGCCCCAGTTTTATTCTCTTACCATGTACAGTGGTCACCTGGTATGAGAAGAGGGGAGGGAAGCAGGAGAGCTAAGCCAAGGCTGGCAATGACCCACGAGAATTGGAGAGCTGACAGCTGACTGCCACAATCAAGAAACGGATGGCTGTCACCTCGTCACAGCTCTAGAACCCAGCATTTGAAATATTAGGCTTCCCTGCAGTTCAGTCACATTTACTCTCCTGCTGTCAATTTCATTCCTCCACATGGCAACAGGCGAACAGTGCCCATCATGACCAACAGAAAAAATTCAATTGGGCAGGCTGAGACATTCCACACCCTGCCTTTGAAGAAACATTTAGGCAACAATTCTACCAGAATACCAAGACCTGCTTGGCTCTCAGCTCAAAACTCAGTCCCGCATTCTATAGCTAAATGTCAGGAAGGCACCTGCCTAGCACACTCTTCATTTGGTTGCGTCTAGTCACAGGAATATGGCTGTTAGGGTGAACACAGACTTACACAGTTCTGACTTTACATAGACTCTTAGTTGGAATAAAAAAGCTCCTTTTGATCAGGTCTAACCTTGACATTATAGAAATAGAAGAGAAGGGGAAAGGTACAGAACACCAAACTAGTAGGAGGCTCAGACTAGATTTCTTTCTGGATCCAGCCTAGGGCTTTTCACAAGAGTTTACCACTTGGTTGCCAATTTTCAAGATTTTATTTTATTGGCCTGAAGAAACTATATACATTGCTCAAAATGGTGATATGCTTAAGGACAGCAAAATCCCATTTACAAAAAATGCATAGTCATTACCAGAATTTGATGGTTCATTACTTCAGGGAATTTACTCCTAAATAGCCTAAAAAAAAAAAAAAAAAAAACCACAAAAAAAAATGTACGAAAATATCATTTCGGTAGACTGCTGAGAAGCGGTAAATGCACAGAAAAATATAAAGTACCTCCACCCTAGACTTCAAAGATAAAAAAGGTTCAAACAACCACTGCAGTGCCAATCAAGTTTCTCAGAAGGCAAAATAAATTTTCCAAGTCTTTATATTAATCTCTAGAATGCAACTAGCCAGGTGAACCATAGTAGGTATGGCAGACAGCAGCAAGGACCAACACAGCAGAAGAGACCCCAAATAATTGTCAGTGAGACAAGAAAGACACACTGTTATCTTATATCAGTAGTTTATTACAATATACACTGACACACAATTAGAGAAGGAATGTTCTGGCATTTCTGAGCATTTCATGGAAAGCAAAGTAACCATCTAGGCAGTAGTCACCGATATTTTTTTCCAAACAGAAAGCAAGCCTTTACATGCGATAACTCAGGAAAACAGTCTTCTTATTCTTGTACAGAAAACATCACCTAAAGAAAACAGCTGTAACATGAGCCGAGAAGGGAAGGTTTCCTTCAAGATGTCCAAATCCTGCCTTTCACCTAGCAACCTAGATGACTGTTAAAATACTTCAGGAGGCTGTGTTTGGGGAACTACACAGGATCTGCTTTTAAGAGCAGTGGTTATAATGTCACCATAATTGAAAGGAAAGGATGAGCTGAAAAGTAAGTCCTATACAATGCTCTTTTCACAGAAGTCATTTAAAAGGGTGAAGTCACCGTAAACAGTTGAATGCTATCAGAGATCGCTGGCAAAAGCTTGCTACTGTATCTGCAAGGGGCCTGCTTTTGCACCAGCTTGGGAGCAGAGGGTGGCGGGAGTCGCTGGCCCAGGGGAGCTGGCACTAGATTGTCTGCAGTTTACAGGCAGCTGTGGACCCACCATGGAAAAGACAGAAGGAACCCGGACAATTCCCCTGCAACGATCCTGTAGCAGCCAGGTGTTTAGATTCCTCCCGTGCCCAAACATACAAGCAATCTAGGAAAAGAAAAACCAAAACCAAACCTGAAACAGTGTTTTGAATATATTTGCTAACACATTACACAACGTAGGAACAACAGAGGCATAAGCCCTAACAAAGTCCTAGAATTCCAATAGAAAAGCACTGCAGAAGTAAAGTTTGTTTAAAAACATTAAAACTCAGATTCACACAAATACAATTTTGGTTAATCTGTGCTATGCCAAATAAAAATTCCATCAGATACTCAGTCTGCTAGGTAACACATTTGGGTTTTCACTTCTGGTTGTATCAGTACAAGAATATACACTGGCATATACTTACATATATGCTTATACATATATAAAATTCAGATCTTGAAAATTTGTTTTAAATACATACTTAAAACCTGTGTCTCTAAAAATAAATACATTAAGCTGCTTGCTAGTAGCTAATTCTGAGTTCCCCCACAAGCCGATCAGACTTTTTTTTTTTTTTACAACGGCAGGAACATTAGCTGCCCTTTAAAGCTACTTTCTATAGTAAACAGGGAAATGCAGCCCCATCACTGAAACATTGTCTCCCAACATAGGTGCAGCTGTAGCAGTGCGGGTAGGTTTTCACCTCCTCTATGTTCAGTCCCTGATGTGCCCTCACTGTCCAGTGGGTGGACAGCAATTCATAGAGACAACACCTGGTTCAGTTGACATTACCTTCTAACCAAGGGAGTAAGCTGCTGTTGCTTCCGGTGCACTGTGTGAGGAACACAGCACAACCCCGCTTGTGTCTGACACCGCTCCCAGGGACCACGGTGAGTGGGGGTGACAATCCCTCGGAGGTAAAGTAGGAGCCCTGGCGTCTGACAGAAGCCATGCTCCCAGGGCAGCAGTACACGAAGGACCTGGGTTCTTACGTAAGTGCCTCAGAGAAACTCAAAACCACTGCCAGGATGGGACAGCAGACGCCTGACACTGTGGCTCAAACATGAGAAGTGCTCAAATACTCACAGCAGTTTCTAGAGAAAGGATCTGACTCACAGAAAGGACAGAGCTAAGTTATTGTTTTACTTTTATATCCCACCCTCACAAAAAAATAAAAACAAACAAAAACCTTCTTAAAATGGTATAGCCAGACCAAACTGTTTAATGTGCATAATACTTGACCTTGTCATTGTTCAGAATATAGAAAATTCAGAAAAAAGGAAATCCATGATAAGTGATAGTGAGAATTTATAGTGCCTCTGCTACATTTTAAGAGGAAAACTTAAAATCCAACTTCTAAAAAACTCAATGTACTCACAGTTTCAGATTGCTAGTTATGAACAAAATGTAAAGTTATCTATTCACATACAAACAAGGCCTCTATTTCATTGACTTCAATCTGATTTAAACCTTTGGATATTTCAATCTGCTGACTCCATAAGGTAAGGCTGAATTTATCAGTATAAATAAAATATTTAGGTCCATGATGTACTGTAGTTCTGAGAAACCAAATATATACAGGCTGACTACATGTCTTCCCTTAAAACACACGTGCCAGCCAGTCAGTTCTAAGCCACACTTGTCTCTTTAATGTCTCTGGCTGAGAACACGAGGCAACAGCATTCTTCTCACCCTGCTTTCCTCTTGACCGAGAGGTAGAGGCAGGGACTAGGTTGGCCGGTGCAGCCTCTTGGGTGGTGGGGGTGGCATGAGCTCCGTGTCGGGGTCCAGGGGGAACTTTCGCTTCTGTCCCTGGGCAGCCGCTGCACATCTGTCAATGAACTCGAACAGCATCTCCTTGGTGACAGGGTTCGAGATGCTGTTGCACACAGCTGTGGACAAAGGGGGACAGCATCTCAGATGACTAAGGCAACTGCTTCACTGCAGGCTGAGCAGGGTCCCCATGCAGCTCTGTGAAATCCTGGCACTCCACCAATGGGCAAGAGGCTTCAGCTTAGTTACATTTCTAGTAGCTACTCTTTCCTGGAGCATTGCTTTTAAGCAAAAATATTAAGGGGTTTTAATCTAGTACAGCATACCTCATGAAAATCCACATTCAACTGAAACTTCTACACAGGAAACTGCACAACAGTTTTTAAGTCCTTCTCTCAGAAACAATGCCCATTCTGTGAGATACGACAGCACTAGCCAATGCCACTAGGGTACAGAAAGTTTTTATGGCAGCTTCCATCCACACTGTTAGTTTAAACATTTAGTTGAAGAACACATAATAACCTCCCCTATCAGTGGACTTGGAGAGGGGCATGGGAGGAGATGAGGAAGGGTGGGAATAGGAGGGAATGAGAGAGGGGCTACAGCTGGGATACAAATGGCCTAATAAACAAAACATCTTGAGTAATCAAAATTTAGAACTAATATATTTCATTTTATTTATCTGTTTGGAATTTTGGAGGTAGGAGAAGACAATAAAATGAACTCATCTTGTCTGAACATAGATGCTACTTCCAAAAAAAAAAAAAAAAAAAAAAAACCAAAAAACCTGATTATACTTTTTATCTACCTTTTTTTTTTTTTCTTACCATCTCTACTATTAGTATACTTTATAAACTCAAATGAATTTGTGGTGTTCTTCATGAAAACAACAAAGTATTCTGAATCCCAAGATATTAATATTACACCCAAAGAACATTCTGAAGGATAGCAGGGCAGTTTTTATTTTAAAATCATTTTCATTTACTTTATTTTTCCATTGTTTGTAAAGTTATTTTAGGAGCTGAAAATTACATTTTTCCCTTGCTAATTCTGTTTCTTACCATCTGGCAAACAATGGTTTTAATAGTTTTGAATAGATCAGAAATTATCACGGCTTTCGTTGTTGCTGCCATTCATTAAGTTAAACTAGTGTGTAGCCACCACCCTGCCCTTCTGCTCTCTCAGGCACACAGGGCAGCTCCCAAGCTCAGGCAGGACAACTTCCAACTGACTAGAGGCTAACAAGGTGCCAGCCTGACCATCTATCTACCCATCAAGCAGGACAGCATCAACAGTACACCTGGGTTCTGACATCAAATTTTTCTGTAATTTAATGTAATGGCCATTGCTCATACTCACCCATGGCTGTGTTGTAGGCATTTGGGAAACTTTTGTCTATTCTCTGTCTCATGAAGACCCAGCTGTTGTTCTCAAATTTGCATTCTATAATTTTGTTGTCATACTGTTTTAGTTCTTTTGTCACCTGTTTTAAAAAAGAATTGATGAAAATATTTTAAATCATTTGAAAGGCTTTTTGCTTCCACTATGTGACAGACACATTAGGAAATGCCAAAAACACCTCAGTAACGATTCAGGCAGAGCTCTTTGTCATCTGAAGTGTCTAATCAAGCCTGAAGATATGGTGCGCACTCCCAGCACGCACGCTCAGTATCTGACACTTCAGAGTTGTGAAAATGGCTGTCAATATATAGCAATTAAAAGAAGCTAAGCAGAAAGCAGCCACTTCTGGGCCAAATGCAAATATGTTGCCATGGGGACAATGCCTTCAATCCTGTCTGTGTTTCTCTGGCTTTCAGACACTGAGTACATTGCTTAAGGTTCATCAACTTTCAGAAAGATTTCACAATCTAAATTCCTATGCCAGCACCCCCAATTCTCTTTATTATATGTAAAGGGGCTACACAGAAAATGAACACTGGGATCAAATTCAGATAATATGCTTCCTAAATACTAATTTTTAGTCAGTTTTTTTTAAATCCAAACCTACTCCTTAGGCTATTTTTCCTTTTCATCCTTCCAGAGAGTATGGATTTAGAAAGGAAACTACTTTGACTTTAGCTGGTGTGTTTCTTGGCTCCTTTACCTCAGATGATTGAATATGGATTACAACATACTCTATCAAAGCCACCAAGTATCCATGGTAACTATGGTAAGTTTTAAAAGATATTCCATCAGGATGGCAGGATGGCTTTCATAAAAGGAACCTAAGCTTATCTTTGCACTTTTCCAATCAAATGCCAGTCATGGTCATATTTGAATTCTGTCTTCATCCCTCAGAACTAACAACTCTCTCACAATACGGTAGATTGCAATCACTAAACTTCATTAGCATTATTTGAAATGCTCTCACTTTTCTGCCCATATATTCACTATCCCCTAGCAGGATGAAGGGATGCAAATTTTTAAAAAGCTGCTTTCAATTCACAGGCTAGGCAGGGTGTGTCTTCATAAAAACTTTCAAATTGTCTTCGTTCCCTCTAGATGACTGTTGCTTTGGATTGGCTTGTTTGCATTTTCAAACATAAAAGTCTAATACCTGGTCAAAACAAAAACAAAACAACGGTCTACTAACAGGCCCAGAATGTCTTAACAGCTCTGGCTCGGTAAACATGATCTCCCCACAAAAGCAATGCTGTTCAGCAACCATTCTCTATAGTCTCACTCCCTTGTCTCAGCAGGAGACTCCTCTTTTCAACTCCTCATTTATGTGCAGGTACTGGGCAACTCATTGAACTGAAGCAGCCACTTCTAAGTTACGGCAAGAAGAAGGTGTTCAACAGAAGTAAGTCTCTAATTCTTTCAAAGTCTTCATTTTCTAATCTCTAAAACATCAAGGGACTTTTTAATAAACTAAATCATAGGAAGAAAGTACCTGATACAGAGTAGGAAATCAGTAAATGTGTAATTAAATAGAAAATTTAAAAAGCCAAAGCCCTGCCTTAACTATTTTAAACACACAGTTTAGCAGTACTAGGCACAGTCAGCTCCTGCACCGTCAACCTCTCTGACTTGTGGACTTTGCAGTCCTACAACTTTACATGTCCTACATGCTTAGCCTTCCTGTTTCCTGCTTTCTACCTTATACATCACAAATGAGCAGAGTCACGGAATCCTTCTAAAGCAGGCTCACTCACATTGTAGCATGTGATGGTTCCCTTCTAGGTTACACAATATTCCAGTATAAACAGGAAATGCAGTTTCTTCAGCCATTCATCTGTTGATGGACATTTTTTTCTACCTTTTTGCTACTGTGACTAATGCTGTACGAAAATAGGGGTCTAAACACCACTTGGAGATCCTGCTTTGAATTCTTTTGAGTATATATCTTTTGATTCAACTTTTAATTTTCCAAGCGGCTTCCATACTATTATTATCCAAAGTGGTTAAACCATGTCACATCCCTGCCAGGGCATACTCTGATGCTGACCACTCTGACAGGCACCTGTTGTTACGCTATGATTACTGGTTGCACATGCTTATTGGCTGTACAGTTTTTTTGGAAAATATAATTCCCTTTGTTTTTTGGGGAGTAGGTATTAAAAGACTGTTCCGTTTTGTAGCCCAGGCTGGCCTTAAACTTCTGATGTCCACCCTGGTCTCAGCGTTGTGATGGGTCTTAGCCAAGTGCTGGGATCAAAAGCCTTTGTAAGCATATCTAGCTACTTCTGCCTATCTTTTAAACAACATTTTCATTAGCGTATGTTAACTATAAAGAATAACGTATTTCAGTCAGAGGTTTCCCTTTGTGCACATGACCACATTTTCTTCCCTGTTCCCACCCTCTGCCCTCCCAGTGGACCACACGGCAGAGATCTTAGCAGATTTACTTTGCTGTCAATCCCCCTGGAGTCCAGATGAGAAAAATCTTGTCATGCCTGTTTCCATTCTGTGATCTATATATCATGCTTTTTGTCTATTCACCTGCATATACGTATGTAAACATGAACCATTTATTGTTCTAACAGGAAATATTTAATATAGCACAACTGAAAGAATGCAAATTTAATAAATATTAATATTTTGTTTTATACTGTTTACTTTTGAAACTGGGTGCCTATATTTTAATCAAAGATGTGCTATTGTTGAATTTTATGTCTGAGCATTAACCATCATCAGACGATGATTGTAATTTTTTCTTCCATTCTATAAGCCACCGTCTGCTCTCATGAAAAGCAGTTTCAAGTCTGATGCCCTGTTTGTCTGTTTATTGGTATTTTGCTGACTGTACTTTAGGTGTCATTCACTGGATTCCAACCAGATCCTCTCCTAATGTGATTCCAGTTTTGTTTGTTTTGTTTTTCAGTCCTTTGAGGCTCAATAGTTTAAGGTCTTATGCTTTGGTTTTAATCAGTTTTGGAGTTGTCTTAGATAGTATAGGGGCAGGTTCCATCATCTTCCCCTATTATGTAATATTGCTACCTTTTTGGAATATTGTATGTCTGCATGTCAAGAACTTATTTCTGGGCTCTCTATTCCACTGACTGTTCTAGTTGTTTTTGCTATTGTTTGAGACAGAGGCTTTCCATATAGCACAGCATGTCCCCAAATTCATGATTTCCCAGTCTTACTCTCCCATGCACCATGAGATCACAGGCGTGTGCCAGCAAATCTGTCTTTTGGGGGTACTATTCTCCAGTTCCTGTGATCTACCTGTCTGTGCCTGTGATGAATCATGCTCTTTAAAGCACTGTAGCTTTGCAGTGGAAGCCAGGAGTGTGAGGCCTCCGACTCTGCTCTTTGTCAGCTATCTCAACTCCTGAAGAGTCCATTCGGATTCTAATGCAGATTTTTACTTCTGCAAAAGACAGTTAGTGTTTTGATAAGGTTGCACAGCGTCAAGATTGCTGTAGGTTCTATGGAGATTCTGATAACATTCTCTCCTGACCCATGACTAATCAACAGCTTTTCCTTTATTTCTATCTTCTTTTATTTCTTTTAACAAGAAACACTGTTTATTTTCTTTAAGCAACTTTACAAGTAAACTCACTAAAGGAATCATGCTGGCATGAAGAGGTACACTCTGAAAACAGCTGTCAACAACACTACATTGTTGGCATTTTAGGAGAATGTTGACTAGCGAGCTTGTTACTGGCTAGCAACTGGCAGTTAAGTATTATATAGCTTATCTCTCTTGAGTTCTCAGTTTCAGACTTAAGCAGTATTAACTATCTGCTGTAGCTCTTGGCCAAATATTAGCAATCTGAGAAAATTTTTTTCCAAAAAATGCATGCACCTGCCACTACTAACTTAAACTCATATTCATATTCAACAAGAAATGGTACTCTTTACTGGTTACACATTATATTCCTACCAGAGACAGGCTGCAAGGTATATATTTGAGTGGATGGTAAATATATTAAACTGGTAAAATTAATACCTCTAATATGTTTTCACTAATGGTGACATCAAAAAAATTAATGGGGTACAGAAGAGTGACTTAATTTTAGTATCCATATTCATCTTAAGACAATTACATACTATTGCTGACTAAAAGAGGACCCCTATTGGTCTTCCATGTTAACTGTTAATCCTAGTTTGAGTTAATGAGTGCTTTAATATTTATACATTAGAATGTCATACTATATTCAGTACTATATTAAATTGATTTAGTAATCTGAATAGGAACACACTACTAAATCACAAAGGCCATACTAAATGTTGGCAATCTGCACAAAGTGAAAGAAAATAGTTCTGCTTCTGGTGGTGGAACGGGAGCCTGCAGACAGCTGTCCTGCTGGGCGGCCACATCAAGTTTGCATCTTAGAGAGAGGCTTCTGTTTGCTCTGAAACTATTAAAAACAAACATCAAAAATACCCACACACATGAAAACTATTAGAAGTTTCTTCTTTTTTAACATTTAATTTGGAAAGATGTAAGACTGACAGAAAGGTTGTAAAGGTGGTCGAGGGACTTTTCTATTTTCTCTGTCATTTTCTTTTCTTTTTTTTTTTTTTTTGCTTTTTCTAAAATTTTTATTTTTTATATTTATTACAGTTTATTTACTTTGTATTCCAGCTGTAGCCCCTTTCCTCATTCCCTCCCAATCCTACCCTCCCTCATGTTCTCCCTGCCCCTCTCTAAGTCCACTGATAGGGGAGGACTCCTCTCCTTCCATCTGACCCTAGCTTATCAGGTCTCATTAGGACTGGCTGCAATGTCCTCCTCTGTGGCCTAGCAAGGCTGTTCTTCCCTTGGGGATGGGAGGTCAAAGAGCCAGCCACTGAGTTCATGTCAGAGACAGTCCCTATTCCCCTTACTAGAGTACCCACTTGGATACTGAGCTGCCATGGGTTACATCCAAGCAAGGGTTCTAGGTTATCTCCATGCATGGTCCTTGGTTGGAGAATCAGTCTCAGAAAAGACCCCTGTGCCCAGATATATTTAGTCCTTGTGGCACTCCTGTCCTCTCCAGGTCTTACTAATTCCCCCTTCTTTGATATGATTCCCTGCACTCTGCCCAA